TTCCAACCAAGTTAGCCTCAAACACCACAGCAGAAAGGTTGATGTCATTCACTCCGTCAGAGATGTAATCCAATTCTGTTACATTGGCCTGATTGGTGGTCTTCTTACTTGTACTTCCATGATTCTTCTTAGGGCGGCGGCAGTCAGAAGCTCGATGTCCAGTTTTGCCACAGTTATAGCATTTTCCTTTGAACTTCTTGCTACTATCGCCTTGTTTAGGACCATCTCCAGTAAACTTCCTCTTTTTGTTATGTGGTTTATGAACTTGTTCAACCACATTTGCCTTGGACTCAATGGGATTTTTCCCATTCCTCTTTTCAGCCTTTCGGTTATCTTCTTCAATTCTTAATCTTACAATCAATTCATCCATAGTCATCTCTTTGCGTTTATGTTTTAAATAATTTTTGAAATCTTTCCAAGCCGGTGGTAACTTTTCCACTAAAGCAGCGACTTGGAATGACTCGCTAAAAGGCATACCTTCTGAATGAATATCATGCAAAATTATTTAAAAACTTTGAACTTGAGATATTATCGTTTGGGAGTCTACCATAACAAAATCCAGAAATTTACCGATGACAAATTTCTTTGTGCCGGCATCCTCTGTCTTGTATTTCTTCTCCAAAGAATCCCACAATTCTTTTGCTGACTTCAAAGGACTGTATACATTATACAACATGTTGTCAAGGCCATTGAGGATGTAGTTTCTGCACAGGAAATCTGAAAGTTTCCAAGCATCTACAGCGGCAACAACTTGCCGATCACTTTCACCCTCTTTAAGTGTTGGAGCCTCTTCATGGAGAAACCGAACCAAATTAAGAGTTGTAAGATAGAACAGCATCTTCTGCTGCCATCTCTTAAACTCGGTACCGTTAAATTTTTCCGGTTTTTCTCCATGATTGATTGGTACATGAACATGGTTCTGGATAGGGACCGATGTAGGTGTAACAATAGGAGTACCACTGCCAGTTGCAGTTTCAGTTGTAGTAGCCATAATCTCTGATTACAAAAATCAGGAAAAAATTAAAACACAAATTAGTTTTCTAGTTACTAAAATCAGAAAATAAATTATAACAACAAAATAATTTTATTTTCTTTGTTACTGAAACTAGAAAAATAAAATATCACAATAATTTTCTGTAATATCAAATAATATTCTGCAATTATTAATGACACCAGTATATTACTACTAGTTGTCAAAGAAAAGAGACAGTATATTACTACTATCTGTCAAATAGCATAAACACTATTTGTTTTTCCAACCACAATATGTCTTATGAAATTACAGAAAATTAAATACAATGAAGATACCAAAAAAGGATTCTGTCTTAAGATTGTTGGACAATCTTCACTGTATTTAATTAAATTAAATTCTGTTGTGTACTAAACAACAACCAGAATATAAAGAAATAAAGAAAATGAGAGAATTTGTTTGATTACAAAAATCAAACTCGAAATAATAAATAAATAAATAAAACCACAGATTTTATTTTGTTACAAAAACAAAAATAAAATCTGATTAAATAAACAAATAAAAACAGAATAAAATTAAACAACTTACTTGGTTAATTTATTTGAATAACTTTTCTGATCAAGTCCAGTGTTTAACACTGTGTCCTTAAGACAGATTCGTCCTCTCCACGGTACTTTCAGAATTTGGATGTCTATCTCTCATGATGAAATGATCTTACCACAAACAATAGCAGCACTACAAATTGTTTGCCTTACGAACACACTAAGTGTTTACATTCTTTCTTTCGGAAATAAAATGCAGCAAGATGAAGAATATAATTAGCAGAGGTGAAATACGAAATTTCTGAATGCATAACATCAAATGAGGGTGGTCTTATTTATAGATGTGAAGGTGGCTCTTGGTTTTGAATTGAACAGCTATGATGCCTGTTGGTTTTGAACTTAAACAGATTTGAATTTGTTTATAATTCAAACAGATAGCAAAAAACGGAAGGGCCCTGTTTGGGTGTGCGTTAATACCAAACTAGTTTATTTCGGGAAGGGCCCTGTTTGGATGTACAGAAAAAATCGGACCAGATTATTTTCGGTTAATTTGAATTCTGAATTTTATTTTACCAAAAAATTAAAAATCAATTCAAATGTTTTTGGCCCAAAAAGATTAGTATTGGGCCGAACAAGCCCAACCCAACCATACACCCGTGCCCAAGCCCAGCCCGCCCGGATGGGCGGCGGCGGTGCGCGTGTGGTGATTTTTGGGTCTAATGGGTCTAACTCATTTTGCCCATAACCTCTCCCTCTAAAACACTTGGGTACCCCTTGGGGCACACCCCAAGTATCTAACCCAAGCCTTATAAACCCTTTCAAAACTTCCCACCAAATCAATGTGGGACAAGCCAATTTACAACCTTAAGGAATTTCCACCAAAACTCCATTTCCATGGAGCACACTTTGGCTTCAATTTCCCATTCACTCGGTAATGGTTTTGAGCAACCAAATATACCACGTGAATCACAACGCGGCATAGAATGCGTTACCACTTTGACCCGAGTAAATCGACGCTCGGGGCCCACCTAAAAAATAGACCAAACTTGAGAAAAAATTCTGATTTTACCCAAAATTTTTCTACCATTTCCAACAATCCAATAGAGAAAAAGTGTAAGAAACACATTTCAAACAACATCCATGCGACAAAACAAACATTTCTCAACAATCCAAGTGAAAAAAAAAAGGTCCCAAGCAAAGAATACCAAAAAGACACAGATAAAGAAGTCCGAAGGGTGCCAGCGGTGGGGTGGTTGGAATCCGCTGAATCTTGTGGTTCTTCTCTCAGGAGGCTGTGTGGGTGTGTGTTTGGTTGGAAAGTGTGTATACAATTTGAGTTAAAGGTTATAATTGGAATATGCAGTGTTTATAATGAGACAAATAATATCTAATCAAATTCATAAGTGTGTATATTGAGAAATGATATATACTGAGGTAAGTAGGTGTGTAAAAATAAAATTTCCTTAATTATTGCTATGTGAACCAAATGTCAAATTGATGTGAGAAAGCAACTATGCCAATTATGCATATGGTTTGTGATCCTTGGGGAATATCCTACTTCCTAGGATGAGATGATACTTATATTTGAATTATGAATTTAGATAAAATTTTAAAATTAAAAAAAATGTATTTCTTTCACATTTTATTTATTTTTTTATTTATTCAAATCTCTACTTAAATTTATAATCTAAATATGCTTTACTTAAATGAATATGTATCAAGCCTTGATGATAAGGTACTTAAATAAGAGAAATAGAGAGACGTAAAGAAAATTTATCTTTTATTCGAATATTTTGGTGCAATTAAAAATTAGAATATGATTCTATTTGGTACTCAATGTGAAACAAGACTTTCACACTAGCAGAAGTCCTATTTCCCTATGCTTAGGCGAATCTCACATCCATGAAGAAACATTATTTTAGAATAAACTGACTCACAAAATTTAAAATTATATCATATTTGTAGAGGATTCATAATCAAACCCAAAACTCGAATTACATTAACACAAGATACAAAATAAATTTGTTTTCATACGTTACATACTTTTAGTGTGGCTGAATAATACATAAATTCTAATTGTGTAAAATTTCAAGTTTCATATTTAGAAAGGCAAAAAATTAAAATATATAAAAAAATTATTCAATTTTCTGAAAATTGAGTTTTTTTTTTTCAAATTTTTTTATTTTTAGGGAGTATTTTTAAAATTTTTAGTATTTGTTTTTATTTTTTGGATGCACCTATATTTAAAAAGTAAAAGACTAGTAAAAAATAGTTTAAAAAATCGATAAATACACAGAAATATAAAAATGTACTAAATTTTTGTATTTGTTTATATATTTGATAATTAGTGAATTTTTTAAAGAATTTTCACAAATATTATACTTTTTAAATATATTTATGTAAGGTGTATTTAAATATTTTAAAAATTATTGAAAATATTAAAAAAATTTAGTAAAAATTAAAAAAATACGAAAAACAAAAAGAATAATGCTAAGGAACCAAATGTTTTACTAAAATTTTTATCAAATGTCTCACATGAGTGTTGTGAATTGCACATCTATATGAAATATCTAATAAAAATATTGATAACATATTTAGAGTTCTTACCATTTCTCAAACAAAAAATTTTAATTTTTTAAAAAGTAAATCTTGAAAATTAAAACCAAACATTATTTTTTCGGAAATGAGCCGTAGCTCGACAGGGGAGGCTCGAATTGGCTCGAAAGAGGGAGAGGAGAAAGAGAAGGGAAAGGAGGGAGAGGAAGAACGGAGGGAGGAGATCGTCGCGCAACACCACCGCTGTCGTCTCGCCGCCGATCGTCGCAGCTTCAGACCGTCGCCGCCGTTGTCGCAGCACCTTTGCTCCTCGCCGATCGTCGCACGTGGAAGCTCCGCCACCGCCTCGCCCTACCTCCTCCTCCAGCAGATTTTTATGGTCCCCTCCCCTCCTCCTCCTCCCTTCTTTTCTCCCTTCTTCTCCTTCTCTTCTTCTCCCTCCTTCTTCATCTCCTTCTTCGTTCTGCAACAAAGAGACGGAAAAAAGAAAAAAAAAAAAAAAAGAGCCGGATTTCGAGCCACGGGTTTCGAGCTACATAGCACTACCGTTATTTTTTTTAGGGCCAAACTTGTAAAGACTGGATTAAGCAATGTATCAGGCCGGGGCCCAACTTTAAATGACACATAGTTTGGGTTTGGAAAATTACTATTTTACTATGTTATTTTAATTTTTAGTTATTTTAATAGATTAAATATTTTGTATTTAAAAAGATAATTAAATTTTTATATAGTTAAATATTTTGTATTTAAAAAGATAATTAAATTTTTATATAGTTAAATATGATATTTATAAAAACAAAAATAAAATAATTATAAATTTAACGTGACACTTTTTTTTTTTTTAAATTTTAGCCAAAAAAAATCTCAAAAAAAACCGTTGCAAAACACCTCCGTAATATCTTATCCAACCCGACCCGACACACGCCCCCACCCCCTTCTTCTTTGGGAAAAAACCATTATTTCGATTCGCAGAGCGAAAACCAAGGAGAAGAAGAAGGAAGAGATATGGAGTTGTCATCAGTGTTTGCGAGTCGATTTCATCCCATTTTCCTCACCCAATCCTCACCACCCATTCCAACCTCTTCTTTCTCTCCCTCTTCACCATTGCTTCCCACTTCCAGACCCAACAACCTCAACTCTCCATCATCAACCTCTTCCACTATTTCTTCTACTATTACTAGACCCAACAATGCTTCCCATACTACCCAAAACCCTCTTTCAATTTCACACACCGCAAGACAATCTGCCATTCTCGATATTCAACAATCGTCCGATTTGGACTCTGCTCTTGCCAGGTTATTTATTTATTTATTTATTTTATATGCGTATATGTGTGTTGTCTTTCTTGTGTTTGATATGTGAAATTGTTTTTTTGTGTACGGGTTTGAGGGGATGTGTTGGTGGGTCGTGGATTTTAAGCTGAAATCTCAACTGGGTTTCTTAGTTTGTTGAAAAAAATCGACTTTTGCTTTGAATTTTAATTTTGGGTTTTGTGTGTTTGATATTTGAATTTGTACCCTTCGTTACTTAATTTGTAGTGAAGACGGTTTTGAGGGGATTACTTACTTGACCATGAATTTTAAGCTTCAATCTCAACTGGGTTTCCTAATTAGTAGAAGCAAATCGTTTTTTTATTTGAATGTAAATTGCATAGCTATGTGTTTGATACTTGAATTTGTAGCCTTCTTGCATTTTTTGAAGCGGTTTGTTAAATTTGCTAAATGGTACTTAATTTTAAGTGAAATCTGACCTCGGTTTGAAGTTATGTGTTTGAACTTGTGATGGAGGTTGTACATTTTTCATACGTGAAGTTGTCTCTTCTTCCTTCTCGCACACCGAAAGATGGGTGGGGATTTGTTGTTTGGTAGGTAACAAGCAGAGGTGATTTCACATATCTTTGGTTTTAACATGCCTTCTGGTTGTTTTTCTAATGTATTCTAGAAAAAGGGTGGACATATAAGAGTCAAAATCTTTTAAGATTATTAAAACTGAAATTCAATGTATGTGATGTAACTTTCTTAAAACTATGTGTTCAAATGAGAGAGGGGTTAAAGCATGATGAAGATTAGGTACTCAGCAGTGGTTGGTTTCTTTGTCTTGAATTAACCATGGGGGGAGAATATTGAAGGGCTGGGCACATATATTAGGACATCATGGATGAAGTGGAGAAGTACTGCTGGGCATTTTGTGATAAAAAAAATTCGTGTTGAGTTAAACTGAAAATTATAGATGACAGCTACAATGCTGTCCTTGCTCTTCGGTACAAAATGTCATGAATTAAGAAAGAATATCTTTTGTTGCCTGAAGAGTTTTCTATATATACATATTGACACGTATAATATACTAAGGCCTCCTTTGGGAATAGGCTATTTTAGTAATTTTTTGGCTTTTTGGCTAAAATATGAAGTAAAAAAAATTAGTATTTTTTAGATGACTTTTTAGTTTTTTACGAAAAGATGTGCAAAAAGTAGAGAGAAAAGAGAATCTTTGACTTTTTGGTATAAGTTGGTGGCTTTTTAGTTTTTTTAATAACTTTTTGACTTTTAGGCTAAAACAAACACTTGCCAAACGAGGCCTAAGTGTAGTTAAGAAGATGTTGATTTGTTGGGATAGGTGAGTGACAAGATAGAAAAAGGTAGATTAAGAAGTGAAGGCATATAAGCATAACTACAATTGAGGATAAGCAGGGATTTTGGTTCAAGTTGATGTATGATAAAGACAGCAAGGACACTGGCAAGGAACATTAGGGCCTATGGTTTTGAACTGCATTCTAGATAGAGTTAAAATATTAACTATCCTCGTAACCATCCTGAAGTAAATGTAAAAGGTTTTTGAAGTGAGTTGAGTTTAGTTGTGTTTGGTGTACTCAACTTTTTCTTCTTACGCATCAGCTTCTTTCATCTTTAATGGAAGATATATGATATCAAGTTTTTATAATTTTTATAATCTTTCTTTATATATATGTTTGTGTGTACATAGCTTGTATAGCTTTCTTAGTCAATTCACTAAGACTTTCGTCTTCTTGACATTCTTACATTCTTGACATGCTTTAGTTGGAACTACCATCAAATTAGATGTAAATTCAAACAAACCGTGCACCAACATTTCTTATTTTATTTCAATTTCATGCTATAATTCAGTACACTTCATGTCTAGAATAAGGAAATGGCAATGACAAAATGAATAACCAATACCAAAGCATCCCAAAAATAATTTATCCAATTATTCAGTCTTCATTGTGTTTGGTACAACAACGGAAACATAGATCCTCAAATATGTTAGAGAGAGCTCTCAGTTTGAGCATTTTGGGAGGAGCACGATCAATAAAGTTTCCCATCACATTATGCAATTCCAATAAATGAATTGGATGCCTTTCTTTCCCTTATGCACACATACAACGAATTATGTTTTGAATAAACATGGTGGTTTGCACTTTCAATGACATCATGAAATGCTCAATCATGTTGCACATCCATTGTATGGTCATGATAAATACTTGCCTTATGCACGAGCATAGGTAATTCCACATATTAGTACTGCATTTTGAATAAACATTTTGGTTTGCGCTTTCACCATGATATGCTCAATCATGTAGCACATCCATTTTATGATCATGACAAATATATGCCTTATGCAAGAGCATAGATAATTTTTATTTTTTTAATTCATTGTCTATTGAAGCAAACATATCTTTGTTTCAGCCTCTTGCCACAAATAGAAATTCTGTTTCAGAATATAGATGAAGGGGTCTTGTTTTTACTTGATTTCTCCAGTTCTGAACTGTCTTCTACTGCTATATCTGGAAAGAAAGGATTTTTTTTTGGTTCCATATAGAAGTAGTACTTTTTGAAATTTTCTCAAAACAGGTGATGGTATTTGCTGTTTATAGGTCAGGCGGGATGTTGAGGGTGCAGGACTTGAATATCATTTTGCGCCAGTTTGGGAAGCTAAATAGATGGAAGGAGCTTTCTCAGGTTCTGCAAGTTGAAGACATCTCTTTTCCCTGTGCCACTACTTACATTTCTTTGATTATCTAATCAAAATACTACGACTGTTTTGACCTCTCTGTTTTATTTGCTGAGCTGGGTATACATTCAAATTAAAACAATGTAGATATATATATATATTTCCTTTTTTGGGTCTCAGTGACTTTGCATTTGTTTCTTTTGTATGTAACCAAACCAAACCAAAGCTTTATGATTTCCTTTCCTTTCCCCATCCTTTTGGACCTACTCATTTGTGAAACTCCCGTTCCTATTTTTAGTGACGATAAATTCATCACTAAGGTACTTTATCTTGGTATTATTGCAGCTCTTTGATTGGATGAGAAAAAATGGGAAGATCAGCAGTTCGTCTTATAGCAGTTATATAAAGTTCATGGGGAAGGGCCTTAATCCTGTAAAGGTGCTACAAATATACAATAACATAGAAGATGAGCCAACAAGGAATAATGTCTCCGTCTGTAATTCTGTTCTTAGCTGCCTGATTCGGAATGGCAAATTTGAGAGCAGCATCAGATTGTTTCATCAGATGAAGCAAGATGGTCTCAGACCAGATGTTGTTACATACACTACAGTATGTCTCTTTGATCATAATATTGTTTATTTCCCTTGCACAGTTGCACTTAATAGTTGTCATTCGGTAATGTAAAATTGAGTTGCAGCCAAACTTAGCTAAATGATGAAACAAGAATATGCTCATTTTTTATTTATCAAAAAAAAAAAAAAAAAAAAAGAAAAGAAAAGAAAAGAAAAAGAATATATGCTCATTTAAATGTTCAAAAAGAAAATTAAGTTCATTACAAATATTATTGGAAACAAAATGGAACAAGCACATTATTTTGTGGTCTGTTTGGGAACAGCCAACAAAAGCCATATTTTTATCCATTTATTTTTTTGCCTTTAGTGATTTTTTTAATATTTGTGTCAATTTTATTTTACATTTTTTTAACTTTTCAAGTCTGTTTAGTCTAGAAGTATTTAAAAAGAATTTTTTTTATTATTATTAAAAAAAGCCTTGAGTGAGCTTTTTTCAATTATTTATTTATTTTTATCTTTTTACATCCATCCTATGAAGCACGGACACGGGACACGGACACGGGGATACGCAAATTTTAAAAAAATCAGGGACACGACACGTTGGGGACATGTTTAATATATATAATTTTATTTATTTATTATATGTCTAAAATAAAAAATATATATATTAATTTTTATACAATTACAATAATAATAAAATTAATAAACATATTTTAAAAAAAAAATTAATAAAAAATGAGTGTTTTTAAATAAAAATAATTTATTTTATGAATTTTAAGTTTAACAAAAATAAGGATAAAAAAAAGAAAAAAGAAAAAAGAAAAAAAAAAGAGTGAAGGAAATAAAAGAGGGGAGAGAGAGAGAGAAACGGGTGAAATAAAAAAAGAGAGGAAAGTGAATCAGCAAAAGGGAGCAGTGAAATGAGAGAGAGAGAGAGAGTAGGTGAAGTCGAAGAAGAGGGAGGAGGAGAAGATGGAGACAGAAGATGGAGAGGACGAGGCGAAGACGAAGAGAGCAGACAAATACCTCAGCTTCTTCATGATCTGAACAGGTTAGACTCCTCTCTTCTCCTCCCTCTATCTCTTTCTCTGTCTCTGTCTATCTCCTCTCATCTCCTCCCTCAATCTTTGTCTTCTCTCCTCCCTTGATCTCTTTCTCTGTCTCCTCTTCTCCCTCGATCTGTTTCTCTCTTTTAGTTAGGGCTTCGATCCACCTCAGGCGTGTCTGGAAAGTGTCACAGCGTGTCCATGGCGTCTCTGACTGCAAAAATTCAAAAAAAAAAAGAGGACACGTTAGAGAGAGTGTCGGACACGTGTGCACCGCGTGTCCGACGTGTGTCCGTGTCCGACACTCGTACGCAGGCCCTAGGGATGTGTCGGTGCTTCATAGCGTCCATCTAGTGTAGTAGAACCTAAAAGTGAGAAGTCAATTGTTTTAGCCTTTTTTTTGTTTTGTTTTGTTGTTGTTGTTGTCTTGAGTGGACTTTTTTCAAAAAAATTTAAAATTTTTTTATTTTACTTTTTAGGTCTACCTAGTCTAGTAAAACCTAGAAGTGTAAAACTTTTTGGGGAAAAAAAAAAGTTCACTAAAGATGAAAAATCTAAAAAAAAAGCTGTTAAAAATGCAATTGCAAAATTGCTTTTTTGGAGGAATCTGAGGAGGAAGTTTTGTGGGATAGGATGAGGCATTTCGCATTAGTCTGGGCTTGTGTGTCTCCTCCTTTAAGGACATTCCCCTTTTTCTGATATCTAGGGATTGGGCTGTTGTTTGCCACTATTAGTGGTGGGATTGTTTTATGTTTTAGTTGTCATTTTTTCGGATTCTAGATGTGATTTCTTCACTTTGTATGAGGACTTCTTGTCCAACTGTTTTTACTTTTTTTTTTCCCCAATAAAATTGTTTTGTTGCTGTTAAAGAAACAAAAAGAAAAGAAAAGCAATTGTAAAATTAGTAAACTTTCATCAATATTGTCTTCAGTTGTCCTTTAGCTGCTTGCAGGCTGCACCAAAGTAAAAAATGGCTACTCCAAGGTGATAGAGTTGCTTCAGGAGCTGAAGTCTAATAGACTGCACATGGACAGCGTAATCTATGGGACACTTATAGCTGTTTGTGCTTCCAATAGTCAATGTGAAGAAGCTGAGAATTTCTTTAACCAGATGAAGGATGAAGGTTATTCTCCTAATATTTACCATTACAGTTCATTGCTCAATGCTTACTCAGTTGACGGAAATTATAAGAAGGCTGACATGTTGGTTCAAGATATGAAATCCGCGGGGTTAGTACCGAATAAGGTTTGTTTTCATGTTATCTTGCATTGTAGGGTTATGTGTTCGAACATTGTGTATTCACTTTAGTTTCTTGTATGCTTGTGGTTTAAGTGTAGGTGTTGATCATGACATTAGTATGCTATCAGCTGCACATGGGCCTGTTTTGGGAAATACTAAGCAATTTAAAAGAAAAAGAAACTAGAAAAACCAGGGTAAATTGGCGAATTCCGATTGGGAGCAATTATTAACAGACATTTTTCTAAAAAGCAGAGATATTTTTAAAATGGAGACATGACCATGTTGGATTTGAATCTTGTGTCCAACACATATAATGTGCTCATGATTTAAAATTGAACTCATGACACTTACTGAGACACTTGCTTACGTAGGAGCAGCACATCTTCCCATTGGAATATGTTTTTACATTTATAGATAGAATTACAAAAAAATAAGTATAATCACATTGGAATAAGACTTTCTTAACTTTTTTCTTTCTCTCCCCCATACCACCCACAAAAAGAAAAAAAGAAAAAAGTATACAAAATCCAGGATTGCTTGGTTTTTATTTGCTGCTGCTGCTTGCACTCTCTCTTTTCTCAGTCTTTGTCCCTTTTGAACTTTTATCTTACTATTTGGTATATTGCTCTCTTTAGCTGTCAAGCTTTCACTTACAATATATCCCCCACTATGTTATTTCTGCAGGTTATGTTGACAACATTGTTAAAGGTGTATGTCAGAGGAGGTTTGTTCAAAAAATCAAGAGAATTGTTAACTGAATTGGAAGCTTTGGGTTATGCTGAAGATGAGGTGTGCCTGATTCCTTGTCTGGAACATTACATTCAAAATCTGTTTCAACCATGCCAGGAAAATTCTTAGAAGGCTTCATAACAAACCAAGGATTTGAACCATAAAAATATTATTCAATAAGATTGTGGGAATTTACATAGACTGCTGTCATATTAATTCCACAATTTTTTCTGAGGTTCATCACATCCCATCTTATAATGATTGACAAGATATGACAGTGAAGTTCAGTGTATTTGGGTTTTTTATGGAATCTTTGGCTGTGTTTAGTGAAACTCTCAAATCATAATTCCACCCCTCCATTTGCACCCTCCGTTTGGATAGAGTTTAGAAAATGTGATTCCACCACACATTTCAAAACATATTTCTCTTTCACGTTTGGCATATCTCTCTCTTTCGTCTTCTCCATTCTGAAAAGTAGGGGAATTTTTGAATTTTGTGTCTATCCGGTCATCCTCCCGGACGTCCGGCCGGTTGACCGGAACAGTGTAATTTTTTTTTTTGCCAATCGCCACCTGTTATTTGGAAATAAATAAATATATTTGTTTTTTGATATTTTTTATATATAGAATTTTTTTTTTTACACCAAAATGACAACTTATTTTTTTGAATTGAATGTTAAAAAGAGTTTGGTTATGAGTTTTGAATAGAATTTGCAATAGAGTTTTGAGTTGTGCGTTTGGTTATGAGTTATGACTTTTTGAATTAAGTTTTGAAAACTCTTTTCAAAACTCATAACCAAACAAATTTTCTCAATTCATATGTCGCATCAAAAATTCAAAACTCAATTAAAAAATCTTTTCAAAACTTATAATCAAACAAATTTTCTCTTTTCAAATCATAATTTCAAAACTCACAAACTCAAAATACAACTCTATTATCAAACCATAATTTTAAAACTCTACCAAACGCAACCTTTGTTTTTCTGATTGGGGAACAGGACAATTATTTGTTCTACACGATATGAGGCTTAGATTTGTTGTTGGAATCTGGTATGTGATACCTTTGGCTTCTCCACTAAGAACTGTTCGGGAATTAAGCATATGAAAAGCATCAACGACAAACTGATTTTAAGGGATTTGAAAAGCATCAATGTGACATGATTTCTGAATTAAATTTGCGAAATGTTTATAGAATGTTGAAGTAGAAGTCAAGTATTGGTCCTAATAATAATAATTTCACAATGTAGATTACTTGTTGGTTCCTTTCATGATTGATGCCAGTCAAAATTGTTTTAGTTTTATGTGTTCTTTCATGCTGACATAGGTTTAGGCATGGTTGATCAGCAACAATTTTTTCAATTGTTTGTTCTAAATTGTTCTATAAGGTCCAGCTTTACTTCTGTAGCTCATCAGATGTAGATAATTTGCAGATGCCATACTGTTTATTGATGGATGGCCTTGCAAAGGTTGGACAGATACATGAAGCAAAATCAGTTTTCGAGGAAATGATGAAAAAAAATGTGAAATCTGGTATGTTTTCTGATAAGAGTGAGATTTTTGCATGAAGAAATTTAATGTATAAAGAGAAATAGAGAATTGTATTATTGATTGATATATATTTGTTGTTCTAATTACAATGATTCATGATTCCTATATATAGAAGAGGGTGAGTGTGTAGTAGGTAAGAAGTAGGTGAAGTGGAGGTGGTAGTGGTGTAGTGGGTTAGGTTTAGTGGAGTAGGTGAGGTGGTAGTGGTGTAGTGGGTTAGGTTTAGTGGAGTAGGTTTAAGTGGGTGAAGTAGGTGATAAATTTTAACATTGCAAGACCCTCTTAAACATCAATCTGTGTGTCCTACCATATATGATCCATGATGAGCCTAGATGTTGCTTTTTTCCCTTGGTTTGAAAGGCTTTCCTTTTAATGGATAACAAATGTATTCGACTTTTTAGAATGTTGTTTCAATTGACTCAAATACTTTGCCTTGTAATCCTCTGGTTTTATGTCGCAGCAGTTTTGTAATCTCTTTCTTTTTTCCCATTTATATTTCTTCCTTTCTATTCCTCTCTTTCTATCCTCGTTTTTGGGGGAGTAATTATCACGTGTGCATAATTGTTGTTCATGGATCTCAGGGAAAGGTCACTCAGAAATGCCCTTTTAACATTGAATGTTTTTTCTTCACTGTCAGCTTAAGTAATTGACAACTATATACACATCTTTTTTTTCCCCTTTTTTTTTTCAATTGAGATTTCCTGCTTGAGATGATATGATGACTAATTTATAAAAAAGCTATGTATTTTCCGTTTCATTATATTTTAGGACTGTTTGCTGAATATATGTACCTGGGATTGTGCATAATCTGGTGTCTTTGCTGGAAATATTAAAATTTCTTTTGTATACGTACAGATGGATATGCCCACAGTATTATGATATCTTCCTTTTGCCGAAGTGGGTTATTTGAAGAGGCAAAGCAATTGGCTTGTGATTTTGAAGCCACATATAACAAATACGACTTGGTTATTATGAATACAATGCTCTGCGCCTACTGCAGAGCAGGAGAAATGGAGAGCGTTATGAAAATGATGAAGAAAATGGATGAATTAGCAATCAGTCCCGATTGGAACACCTTTAATATTCTAATAAAATATTTTTGTAAGGAGAAATTATATTTGCTTGCTTATCGTACTATGGAGGACATGCACAAGAAAGGCCACCAACCAGAGGAGGTATGATTTCTTTTTCCTCTTAAAGGTAAGTTTGGGGATCAGTTTGGATCATTAAATTCACCATTTTGGAATGAAAGTGTACCACAAAACGTAAATTGTTTGGGTGTTAGTGTATCCTAGTAACACTGGCTCTTACGAGGTTGTTCTTTACCTGCAGGAACTTTGCTCCTCCTTAATTTTCCATCTGGGTAAAAATGGTGCCCATCCAGAGGCGTTTTCTGTATACAATATGTTGAGATATAGCAAAAGAACAATGTGCAAGTCCCTTCATGAGAAGATTCTGCATATCCTTATAAAAGGGCGACTTCTCAAAGATGCATATGTAGTAGTCAAGGTATGCTATATTGATTAATGAAATCGTAAATATTATTTATTTATTTGTAGATAAAATGTTCTCTTAAATTTCTTATCTCACAGGATAATGCAAAGTTGATCTCCGAGCCTGCTACGAAGAAGTTTGCAACCTCGTTTCTTAAATCGGGTAATATAAACATGGTAAATGATGTTATAAAGGCTATCCACAGTTCTGGCTACAAAATTAATCAGGTAATGTAATTGATTTCTATACAGTAAGCAATTTGCATATTGGTCTCATAAATGAATCCTGCATTTTATCAATTATTCTTGAATTGTCTTGAAATATTATAAAGGGTTAAATATACTTTTCACCCTTGTACTTTGACTTAAATTTCGCTTTGATCCTTATAGTTTCAAATTGAACAATTTGATCCCTACAATAGTTTTAGTTTGCCCCTTCCGTTCAAGTTGGAGGTTATAGTTAATGATTTTAGAACACTTGTTTGTCTCCTAAGGTGGTGTATACTTAGGAAAAATTAATGGAAATTTGGACTGAAGGACCACATTGAAACTAGATTTAAAGTGAAATTTAGGTTAAAGTGCGGAGGTTAACAGTGTAATTAACCCTATATATAATTTCCACATTTCATAATTTCTAAGTTATTCCAAATAACTATTGAATGACATGTTTTGCTTTCGAACTTCTTAACATATTCCACTTTTCATACTTAGAAGTTTGTCTAGAAACTTTTTCGCATTTAATGAGCTATAATTTTCTAGAATAACTCCTGCATAATATATTATGCGGGAGTTATTTCAGGGGAGGCTTTTTTTTAGGCCAAATCTAAAAAAATCTCTAGAGAAGGCTTATTTCAGGCCAATAATCATAAATATTTCATTAACTATTAATTTATGAACCCCATATTTGCGATGATTCTTACGGGACTTGGACTCGGCCCTGTGCATTTCAGGGACTCTTTCATATGGCCATATCACGATATGTCACGCAACCTGAAAAGAAGGAACTGCTTCTCCAGTTGCTACAATGGATGCCGGGTCAAGGCTATGTGGTTGATTCATCAACACGAAACTTAATCCTCAAAAACTCGGACTTGCTTGGACGCCAACTCACTGCTGAGATATTGTCCAAACAACATACGGTATCAAAAGCATTAAGATCTAGTGAAATGAAAGATAAATAAAGTTCTCAGAATCGAGACATTTCAGGTAAAATCCCATCCCATTGTTTGGCTTACGCTTTGAAAAGATAAATGAGCATATGTCCAACCCCTTCTTTGAATTTTTTTTGAAAAAAGTTCTCAGGAACCAGAGTGCCAACTACTACATGACATTGCCGGTTTGCAGAATGCATCAATGAATCAGTAACATGCACGAACGGAAATGAGTTTTAGGGGTATACTTGTGAGACCCATTGGCTATCAGGGAGCCCTTTCGCACAAAGGTACAACTATTCAGCACGAGCATGAGGTATGTGTGCAACACAAAGGTAGCATGTTACCTTCAGATAATCATGATAGGATATTCATCTGCCGTGTAGAAATGTGATCAATTTATTCACCGCACCCCATTAAAAATAGTAAACTGTAAACACTACGAAGCACCCCCTTAATGTTGCAGACCTGGTTTGTCATAAAGCTTCAAGCTTATTGTCAAGGAAGGTATAATTGATTATTGTAAAATTCCTAGCCTCTATTTTTTTGGATTTTTTTTTTAATTTTTATAATCCTATCAATAAATCTGTGCTTGTTGATGGCTTTATGAATCAAAAAAACAATGGAAAAACAGGATGAAAACTTTAAATTTCTGTGTTAGTATTGCGTAATTCCTTTCTCCAAATTTGACTTAATTTTTTTTTTTATTGCCAATTCTCAAAATACCCTTGTGGGGTACAATTTCCGTCAATTTTGGACAAAAAAATGGTTTTAAATTAGTTCAAAACCACATTTTTATTTTTTATTTTTGCTATTTTTAAATATCAAGGGTGAAATGTTGCACAGGTAAAGTGAATTTTGACTCATTTATTTAAAAAAAAAAAAAAAACAAAACTACTTTCACCAACAAATTAAGTTCAACATAATTTCCGGTAGGGCTGGGGACTGGGCAGTTTTCCTTTATTGAAACTCTCTATTTTGAAACTTATGGAACAAATTCACACTGCAAGAGATCCTTTCAAGGGTAAATTTCTTGGAAGTCCTAATTACTAGAGGATAAATTTATTTAGTCTTATACCTTTTTGAATATTTTTAAAAGTCTATTATGTATTTTTTTTTCTTCATTCTTCTTTGTGTTCGATTTTCTCTCTCTCTTCCTGATTTTTGGTGATTGGCGCCTATACCTTGTTTCTTCTCTTTCTCTTTATAATATATAGTCATCGGTGATTGACGACCATCATTGTTTGGAATTTACCGATAATCACTGACTATTGACTCCTTACTTCATCCTTACCGACGGTGAAAGAGACAAGTTTTCGACAAGGAAGATTAGTAGATCTATTCAAATCTAAATGAGATCTGAGTAAATCTATATGAGATTTAACTAGATCTAAATCAAAAATAGTTGCTGGAGTATAATATTCTCTCTAAATTTGTTAAAAAAACAATGGAAAAACAGGATGAAAACTTTAAATTTCTGTGTTAGTATTGCGTAATTCCTTTCTCCAAATTTGACTTAATTTTTTTTTTTATTGCCAATTCTCAAAATACCCTTGTGGGGTACGATTTCCGTCAATTTTGGACAAAAAAATGGTTTTAAATTAGTTCAAAACCACATAAGATATTTTTTTTTATTTTTTATTTTTGCTATTTTTAAATATCAAGGGTGAAATGTTGCACAGGTAAAGTGAATTTTGACTCATTTATTTAAAAAAAAAAAAAAAAAAAAAACTACTTTCACCAACAAATTAAGTTCAACATAATTTCCGGTAGGGCTGGGGACTGGGCAGTTTTCCTTTATTGAAACTCTCTCTATTTTGAAACTCTGTATGGAACAAAATCACACTGCAAGAGATCCTTTCAAGGGTAAATTACTTGGAAGTCCTAATTACTGGAGGATAAATTTATTTAGTCTTATACCTTTTTGAATATTCTTGAAAGTCTATTATGTATTTTTTTTTCTTCATTCTTCTTTGTGTTCGATTGTCTCTCTTTCTCTTCTTGATTTTTGGTGATCGGCGCCTATACCTTGTTTCTTTTCTCTCTTTATAATATATAGTCATCGGTGATTGACGACCATCATTGTTTGGAATTTACCGGTAATCACTGACTATTGACTCCTTACTTCATCCTTACCGACGGTGAAAGAGATAAGTTTTCGACAAAGAAGATTAGTAGATCTATTCAAATCTAAATGAGATTTGAGTAAATCTATACGAGATCTAACTAGATCTAAACCAAAAATAGTTGCTGGAGTATAATATTCTCTCTAAATTTGTTTTTGTCATTCGATTTCTTAATTTTTTTTACATTTTCTCTACTACACACTTATATTTTCCTATTTTAATGAAGAAAATTTTAAATTCTGAACAAGTTGTTTTTAAGTTTTAGTTACAGACTGTGAAAACTATAAAATTTTACAGTTTCGGTTTTTTTGGTACTTAAATTAATCATGCTTTAAAATTGTAAAATTTTAAAATTCTAACATTCTTTAGAACTGTAAAATTTTACAATTTTATAACATGTTTTTTAGTTTGATTAATAAGGATAAATGCTCAAAGTTTACTTTTCAGTTTGAGCAATATTGAAGATTATTTGCTTAAATCTTACAAAAATTGAAAAATAATATATTTTTTCCCGTTGTTTTTTTTTTTTTTTTTGCCCCTTTTTAGTTTATCAATATTTAACACATTTTGCTATATTTTTTTCACTATAATTTCTCTATTTTTTCTTTTTCTTTTTCTTTTTTTGGCAATATTCTAGATATTACAGTGAGTCTTCGATGATATTCTTGATGTTCAACGAACATTTTGGACATTCTGGCGACTTCCAGTGACGTTCGGAACACTCTGGCGAATTTTCTAATGTTGAAAATTTGGGCAAATCTTTAGTGGCTGTTTGACGGAAATCCGATGGTGGTGAGATGTAACAACGTTTTTGAAGTTATAAAAAAAAAAGGGTAATAATTAAAAATATATAGAAGTAATTAGTATAAGTGTTTTATTTTGAAAATTAAGTAAATTTTAAACTTGGTGTGTGAGATTTACTGGTATGTGCCCCATCTTTCAATAAGCAAATTTTATTCATGGCCCAAAATAAGGTCTGACCCAATACCTTTAGGCCTGGTTTGGAGTGTTTCATAAAAGTCAAAAAGTTATAAAATTTGTTTTAAAAAATTATCACTATTCACAAATTAAAAATATTAAAAAATTAATATACATAATATTTTAATCAAACAAAATTTACACATTTTTTGGGGCTGAATTGACCCTTTCGTACCGTGAGAGGGAAAAAAAAAATTACATATATAAAATCACTAAGTTAGACGGAAATGTTGAGCCGTGGGGGCCCACCACGGGTCATGTTTTGATAATCCGAATTGTTCAATATGTAGAACTCGTCCAGAACTATATGCCCGTAAAAAATCATGTTAATCGGAAATCGGTAACTATATGATCAAATTAGTTTTGTATAAAAAATGGATGGTGTTATAGTTAACAGTTGACAAAAAAAACTAACACGATCAGATAGCTATTGATATCCAATAAATGTGATTTTTTATAAGCATATAGTGCTCGACGAATTCTATACATTGACAGTTCCGATTAGCAAAACGGGACCCGTGGTGGGCCCTCATAGGCTGAACAGCACCGTCCAATTTATGCCCGAAAAAGAGAGAATCAATCTCCTACCCCTACCCCTCTGCCCCTTACGCTTCCGATCGAACGGTCTATTCCATTCTTAGGCCAAGTTTGGCATACCCAAAATAATCTATCTTTTTATTTTTTTATCTTTTTTCTATCACATCACCTTTCTACTTTTCTGCACATCTTTTCGTAAAAAGACAAAAAGTACACTTATTTAGATCATCCCAAACAACCCTATACACTTATTTATATAATTTTTTAATACACATTTTTTCATAAAAAATTAAAAAATTAACCCAAACATCCATATTTTTTTCCTTAACTTTTAGTCCAAAAAGACAAAAAATACACTTATTTAAGACACCCCAAACAATCCCTTAAACACCTCAAAAATTCAAATGTGCTTTTTTGTATCTATATATTAATTTTAATAATATTTTTTATTTTTTACATTGTAAAATTTATTATTTAAAAAAATCATTTTTCTTCCCATCTATTTTATTGTGGCATTTTTAGACAAATCAGAGTCTTTTTTTTTTGAATTTTTTTTTTTTTTGGAACAACGAATGTCTTATTTACTATTGAGGGCCTATGTTCGACAGGGAGTACTCCTATTAACTATACAAGAACATGTATTTTAAATTGCGGCTTCTATATATATATGATTGGGGGCCTAAACCGATAGTTTAATGATAAGTCTCATGTAACAGTAATTATATAGGAAGTTTGTAAACATTACTTTTTCACATAAAATGACAGGGTCCATAGGGACCAAAAAAACTAAAAATATGAATTTAAAAATTATTATTATAAATTTTACACAATATTTATATGAGTGTGGGTAGTGTATGTAGTGGGTTCCACAACCATGTATTATTGTACACAATTATACATAATTTTTTTGAATTCTCAAGCATTTCTGATTCACTGGCTGGTTGCTGCAAATTGATCACCACGAACCACAGCTAAAACCTGCAATGGTATTATTATCACATTAGAACTACCAAATTGATTTAAAATTGATACCACTACTAGGGTTTGTTTTTAAAACCACTTATGATTTCAATAAGGGAAAACACAAAGTTAAGAGAATCCCACTGTGTATTTATTAATGTAAATTTTAGTAACCATAGTGAATACCACCACCACCACCACAATATAAATATTACCAAACCTTCCCAAACCAAACCAACATAAAAATTAGAAGAGAAAAATTAAAAATTAAAAATAATGAATAATAAATTGTATATTATAAAATTAAACAATTTATTTTAATTCAATACTAAAATTTTTATCATCCAATTTTGCAGCGTTCAATTTTTCAGTAACCATAGTTAATCTCACGTGTTTACCAATGTAAATTTCACTGTGTTCGTGTTTAGTGACATGAAAATATGATCATAAAAAAAAAAAAAAACCGTTTATGTATAATATTGAATAAAACCAAATAGACCTGTAAACTAGGCAAATAATAAACCATAGTAAGTCAAAACATACCTCACTTATGGAAAATTTGTGAGCCCCAGCATTATTGTTTAGACAGAGCAAGGCAGCTCGTGCAATGTGATTGACAACCTCGGAGTCACTGCTCATCTCCATTAACCTCGAATCCATCACTTGGTTGAGTGAACCATTTTCCAGATACGGAATTGCCTGTTGTTCCACAAATACAAATATGTCAAAACAAACTTGATAACCTTGGTACTCATGCCAACTTCAAAATGAATGCTATGTGAGAGGTTATGGGCAAAATGGGCTAGACCCATTGGACCCAAAAATCACCACACACGCGCGGGCGGGCTGGGCCTGGGCGCGGGTGCGTGGTGTGTGGTTGGGTTGGGCTTCTAATCTTTTTGGGCCAAAAACATTTGAATTTAATTTTATTTTTTATTAAAATAAAATCCAAAATTCAAATTAAATTGGTTTGGATTTTTTGTTCATCCAAACAGGGCCCTTCTCGTTTTCAAACAGAA